ATTTTAGATACCACTCCGTAAAGTTTCAGCAAAACTAGGGCTGCAAACGAACCGAGCCGAGCCGAGTATGTGAGTGTTCATGTTTGTGTTTATTTAACATCAGCTTGTTCATGTTTGGTTCATGTTTGTTCGAGCTTTAGCATTTGTGTTCATGTTTGATTCATTTAAATTAAGGAGTGTTCATGTTCAGTTCATGTTCATTCGTTTAGTGTTTATCGAACTTGTTCGCGAACATATTTAACGAATTTTTTTAACTATCAAACAAACATGTTCATGAACATATCTATGATCAAACACATTTATAATAAAAGTAATTGTCATGTAACAAAGGTAATGATTATTTATATTTATTAATTCTATATTCAAATATTAATTATTTTTATCGAGCTTATTCACGAGTTCAAAATCGAACACGAATCGAGTTTAATGTCGAGCTTTCGAACTTCAAATGATGTTGTTCGCTAACATAAATGAGCCGAATGCATTAGTGTTCAATTTTGTTTATTTAAGAATCGAGTATTTAAAATATTGTTCAAGTTTGTTTGTTTAGTTGATTAAACGATCGCAAACGAGCTTTAATCGAACCGAACAACGAGTAGCTCGTCGAACGTTTGGTTCTCCCCAACATCTGAGACCCAGTCAATTTTCCTGCGTGAAAGCTTGAGAAGCCTCGTCGCCTCTTCTTCACTTCAGCAGGTACGACTCCTGGCTCTCCTTCTCACCATAACGACGCACTTCCCGTGCCCTAGGTAATGGCCAAATGCAAACAGGTTTATGTAGTAGCTGAAAGCCTTCTCTGTGCTGCCTGTTAATGCCTACTCTATGCCGCCTCCCAACAGGTTTATTGGACGAAAATCTCCAAATGCACCAGCAGCAATTCTAATACGTGGTAGGCCAAATGAAAACCTCCAAATCCACCTAACTGAGCAATCCTTGGCAAATAATATCTCTCATTTATTTTTCACCAAGGCTTACTGATTTTGATTCATTTTTATTAACTCGTTAATTATTTCCATACACATAAATGAATTCAAGTAATTTTTTCTTCATTGTCCTAACATTTAGTTGATATTGGAGTGAGGTGAAAGGTCAGACCCGAATGAAGTATATGGGTAGAAGTCAGAAAACATTAAAGCTTCGAAGAGATGAAATTAGTTTGCTATTGTTAAAAGAACGAGTTGAAGCACTTTGTCATTGACTACGAGGTCAACCATTCGACTTACACCATCATGTCATTGGAATTTCTCCTAGAATTACATGTTGGTTTCAAGCGATTCAGATTTAGTTGACATGCTGAGCAAATCTTATGAAAGGAATAGATCTGAGATAACGGTTGCAATGAAATATCACGAGGAAGATATGTCTCAATCACATAACATTCAAACTGAAATAAACAACTAATTAAATGAAATGCATCAGTTCAGCTCGAATATTGTAGACTATAATGATATTATAGGCGATGATTTGTGCAATGATTTTTTATACCCCAAATTAATGAGGTACATGTTGGTTCGCGGTTTGAGGATTCCCAAAGTTTAAGCAAACAGTTAGGTCTAATGCAATTTTAAAGAATATGCTATAAAGGTAAAGGCTAGTGATAAATTCAGAGTAACTATTACTTGTACGTATAGAGGTTTTCTTTGGAGAATACATACCTCATTGTGTCTTGATGGGCACTTCTTTGAAGTTAGGAAAATTGAATCAACTCATTTATGCCTTGGGGTCAATAGAGTATGAAACAAGCAAACTACTACTAGTTGGGTTGCTCATGAAATCAAGGATATTGTATAGAGAAATCATGATATCACACCAAAATATATTAGCAATAACTTGGAGACAACTTACAGATTATCATTACCATGTATGAAAATCTGGAGATCAAAAGAGTTAGCAAGGTATGTAATGTTTGGCTCTGTCGACGATAACTATATGTGGGTTCCTATGCTAAGACCTGAGTTAATCAACAGCAATCCTGGCTCTAACAATACTTACATGTGTGACATCAAAAGCAATGTATTCAATCGATTATTTGTTAGTTTCAAAGTATGTATTGACGGTTTCATTGATATATGTAGATATTTAATTGGAGTTGACGCATGCCACCTCAAATCAAAGTATCTTGGCATATTCCTTAATAGGCTCTACACAATGCTGCTACAGAATCAGAATCTAAGAAATCGTGGGAGTGGTTCATGCGGAACTTGTTGGATAGCTTTGGTTGTGATGTATAACATTTAGCTTTCATTTTCGACATGGAAAAGGGCCTTAGTGAATCTATAAAACTTATTTTCTCAAATGTTGAGCATAAAGTGTACATGAGACACCTGTGGAAAATATTAAAAAAAAAACACTTTCGCTGTGAAAATGGCAACAAGCTTCAAAATTTGGTATGGAGGGCCACAAATACTTACAAGCTACATGATTTGCATAAGAAAATGGAGGAGATCTTCAAATTAGTCCGCAAGTTTACTCTTACTTGAATTTGTTGTCATGCAAGTGGTCTAAGGCGTCGTTCTCTAAGCACATTAAAAATCACCACAATACTAACAATATGGTGAAGAAGCGAGAAGTAAGCCCCGTCATTGATTTGGTTGATATGATAAGGGTGGGTAAAGCTTATGGAACAACGCTCGCAAAGAAAGATAATTTCTGTTTCCTGGAGAAGTCAACTTGTTCCTCATGTGGAAGAGTACATTAGAAATATCACAACAAAGAAAGATCATTTTATCATTCTCCAATCGATATCAAGCAGAGCTGAAGTTGAGGCCTTAATTAATTGCCACCTATTTGTCATGCTAGTTAGTTAAATATTTTTTTTTATTTTATGATCAGATATAAAATGACGTATGATGGTGTGATTTCAACCCTACCAGGTAAGGAGATGTGGGTTGCAGTTAGTGATGATGAGGAAGTTACCACCCGTAATTCACTTCGACCGCATGGCAGACCTCAAAAAAGGAGAATAAAAAATTTCTAGAATTGGAAAAGAAAAGAAAACTTGGACACTAGTGCAGTCGTTATAATTTATTGGGCCGTCATAGAAGTACCTGTAAGAATCCATTAAATGCGCGCAGTAGGTAACGAGATTGATAATGAGAGCATACATGATGATGAGCTGCCTAGTATATCGACTATTCGTGCAAAAATGGCTATACGCCATCCAAATAGTGTCGTTGGAATACGTGCCTTGATTGTAAGAATTACAAGCAAACTTTTTTTGGCTTTAGTTATGTCAACTAGTTCTCAAGTAATTGCTAATGTTAGCAAATTTTGGTGTAGCAGAAGTTTATAAATTTGAGTCAGTGGACATATATGCTTACAATTCCATTTTGCTGTAACAGAAATTTCAGATTTTGATACATCAGATTCGATTCAGTTGCTTGCAGAAGATATTTCTATCTTAACAACAGTTTTTCTGAATAGTCGCCTCAAACGCCTTTATCCAGAAAAAACTAGAAAACCAGCATTTTAGCATAACCGAGAGCAATATAAGCAAATAATTGATATCCAAACTTGGGAATCTTAGAATTAGAAAGACTAAGAATCTTAGAGAATAGAACGTCTTTTCTGAACTAGCAGAATGCATTGCTCCTCAATTTGATTGAGCTTGCTTTCAATACAAAACTTTTCCTGAACATTTGCTACACAGTTCATCTGCTACAGAATATTACACAAAATGGAGAAGAACAAAATCTAACCTTGTCGACTTAAGATGTGATGCCAAGGAAGCAGAGGCGTGCGAGACCTTCTAACGCAATGGAGAAGACAATCCTTTTCTCAACCGGAGGAACACATGAGAAAGCGATGGAGAACACAATTCTCGCGCGACCGAAGGGAAGCCAAGGCGCAAATTTGGCTTTTTGACGGAGAACTAACGGAGTCGTAGAATAAATATAAAAGTGAGAATTATGAGCTATATAAGTAAATATGATATGTTAAATATGCATTTTTGATAGTTTTAAGTGTTATGTAGGTAAAAATCTCAAACAAAATTTATGAAAACTTTGAACCATTACATATATAATAAAAATTTAAGTTTATAAATATAGCTTTAATAAAAATTTAAGATGTTAAAAAGTATAAAAAGCCAAAATAAAAAAATGCTATTAATATAATTATTGTGAAAAATAAAATTATAATTTTTTAATGGAATCCCTTTATCATATGATATATTTTGAAGATTTTCATGCTTTAATAATATTTGAATTGGGTGATCTTAGGCTCATATAATGAAAACATTCATTTTGATTAAAAACATATACATTTTGAAAAATAATTAGCCTCCCAAATTCCTTTGAGAAATTTGTTATGATGATTCTAATTATTTAAACCATTTAGACTTATCAAACATTTTTGTATCGATGAATTTATCTCATCAAATAATCCTGTTAATAATATTATTAATTTGTTATAAATAAAAATTAGATGATCAAGAAATTAATTTTTAAATTTTATAATTTATATAGATGATTATTTTTTTCTTTAAGATTTGAAATTTTATATCAAAATTTAATTATTTTGATCAGATTAACTCTCTGATGACATACAATATTTAAATTATTCAATCTGTTAAGATATTGAAAATCCACTTCAATGCCGAAGATCTTCTTCTGTAAAAATAATTTGCCGATTTTATTTTTGCGATTATGATAGTTTTGCTTTTTAAATAGTTTTATGTTTCTTACATATTTCGAAATCCCATTTTCAAAAAAATTGAACGTTTACAAAATATCCTATAATTTCAAATAATTTTGAAATATTCTCTAATAACGGATAAAAATCTTCCACGCTAATTCAAATCTTTCTTTTATTAACGGTTCAAAAGCATTTCCTAAGCTTATAAATAATATCTCTGTTCTGTTCCTCTGCATCACTCGTCATTCCACTAAACTTCTAATCTCCCCTGCTCTCTCTCTCTCTCTCTCTCTCTCGGAGCTTACGTCTCCTCGTTGCCTCAAAGTTCGAACTTTTCCGGTAACTCTTTACGATCTGCGAAGCTGATGAATCCGGCGGAGGTAAAAAAGAAAAGAGGCAAAGGCCGTCGGAAGATAGAAATAAAGCGCATTGAAGAAGAACAGAAACGACAAGTCTGCTTCTCAAAACGACGTCAAGGACTGTTTAAAAAGGCCAGTGAGCTTTCCACTCTTTGTGGCGTTGAAGTCGCTGTCGTCATTTTCTCTCCGGCCGGCAAGCCTTACTTCTTTGGCCAACCTTCAATCGACCATGTCCTTAACCACTTTCTAAATGCTGGTCCAAATCCATCGAACCAAGATGAACCGATGAACCATGATCAATCAGCCGGAGATCAGTCTTTTTGGTGGGATATTGACCCGCATTCGATGGGAGTCGTGGAGTTGAGAGAGTATCAGGAGATTTTAGCAGAGCAACAATCTGTAGTTATCCAAGCAGCGCAACAGTGCTATTTGCAGGCTCCGCCGGAAGCGGCGATGGAGCAGATTGAAGCCCTGCCCCATACTTATCCGGAAGTTGGAGAAGATGACTATTTTCTGTGTTGGCAGCAAGATTATGACTTTCAGGATATTGTTCCATTTTAAAGCTTCTTTCTATTTTCCTACTTCTGTTCGGTTAAGTTGTGTTGCAATTGTTTAGGGAATTATGATAACTGTCTGTTGACTTAGATATTTGTTTGTTTCACTACTTAGATGCATCATGCATATGTACATTAGATCATTGTTTGGAGAGTTAATAAAATCAAAATGGAAATAAGTTCTCTAATTTGCAAGAACTTTTTTTTTTAGTGTAGAACATTATTCCATCCATAAGAAGCAATACAAAGTTTAAACAGGCAGCTAAGATTTTATATTTAGTCTACGGCGTCGTTCTATAGCCGAAAATATGAATGGCCTAATCGGCTCATTCTCCCGCCGGCAAGCCTTATGCGACATTCTCCCGCTCGGCATGGTGTTCGTCATCTTCCTTCTCCCATCCTTGGAAGCTCATATGCGACATTCCCTTGATTCATTTTACTCAGTTAAGTTGATGATACAAGAAAACAGTCATTTCTAGATGATAAAATATGAAAAAAAAAAAAGTCAAAATTCATTTATAAAAACTAATTTTGATAGATTTTTTTTGGAATTTTGTATGCTAGAAAAATTCTCTCAAAAAAAGCTAATGAACCACCAAAAGATCCTCAATTTTTTTTTTTCCTATCTGATATGGCATCACAAAATTAGCTTGATCGGGCACGAAACTTGAGGCAAAAGCTAGTTGGAAACTTCAAAAATTAATTCCGGGAACACCCTAACTCCGATTTCAGCGAGCTTATAGTCAAATTGAGCATCTCGGAAATACGAACCCAACAACACCAAGATCAACCCAATCCGAGCCCAAATGAGGCCGAATCAAGGACCCGAAGCATTGTTGGAAGGTTCAAACCGCAAATTGAGTTACCAAACGGTCTCCGATTTTAACGAGCTTATACGCGAATCGAGCGGCTCGACGAGACGAATCCAACGAGCCCAAGATCGCCAAATTTCAACATCATTAAGGCCTTCAAATGTCTAATGAACGGTGCATGATCAAATGATTCGATATTGGACGTCGATTCAAACCACTCCCAATTCTCCCATGATCTCACGCCTATTTACGGGCTATGCCACTCCAGAAAAACTATAAATAGCAGTGCTTTAAAAATCGGACCGGACCGGCCGGTCCAACCGGTTCAACCGTGAACCGGTTTAAGGGCCGGTCCGGTCCAATCTGAAAACCGCCTTCACATTGAACCGGCCGGTTTTGGGTAGAACC